ATGTGTCCTTGCATAGTCTTGTTGGATGGAAATAGTCTTTCCCCAATCTTCTGTTGGCCATCTTTCATGGATTCTCAGAATGACTTTTTCAATCAAAAATGGTTTTATATCCTTTCTTTTCACGGAAGTTAATGCTTTTAGCTTTAGAGTTCCAGCATCTCTGTGTTTACTTCATCTTAGCAGGTTGCACAATAACAAAAGGAAATACTCCTATTTTTCTAGAAAATGTCTCATTTCCTTCCTCGTCAAATCTCGGCCGAGCCATCACAGCTAGAAACTTCACATTTCCAATAATATTCTTACTTTGACATGTACGATATAGCACTTCTTCATCGAGAAATACATAATATTTCCCCGTTTGCTTCATCATATAAAACCATTTTTCATCAATATGCACTATATCATGCATATTAAAAAATCTTGGTTCATGACTCAAAGAATCCTTGTCTAACATAGATAAACTAAACTTTAATCTGCTTTTCATATTCTCATCCTTTAAATTTGATTTGATGGCATTCGTATGACATTAATGCATATTTCTTTGAGACGTTTATGTAGTACCAAGTGATCAATTCCCAAAGACATTGAAAGTGACTGAATTGTTGTTCTCTTGTGGAATGGAATTTCACTAATTTTATTCAAATCAAGTGTGATTCTCTTGCGGCCACAATGTCCTGATCTTTTGTGAGATACATCAACTGCTCCACCATTTGAAGTTTGTTTTGCTTGTTTCCAAATCTGTTGCACTGTTTGAAGAGGTACCGAAAACAACTCTGAAACTTCTCTTGTAGTATTTTTTTTTTAGTTTCCCATCACAACTGTTCTCTAGGGTTTAGCTAAATCCGAAGGAAGACACATCCGCTAAATCCATTCAATTTGGATTAAGGACAGAGAAATTGTTTTTCGTTGGTATTAGTTAAAACCTTGAGACGACTAGTAATATCACAATTTCGATTGTTCAATACGTCTACGACCATCATAATAAATTCTGCAAACAAAACACACTTTTTGTCCAAAAAAAATTGATAAACTTGGGAGGAAGAAGTTATAGAAAGAAGAAAAATATAGCATTAGCGATAATGAATAAATTACTAAAACGACAACGTTTGATGTTTGGAAAGAAGTGGAAGTCGTCGTTTAAGTGGGGTTATAGGGTTAGATATTAAATTTGGGTTGCTCTTGGGTTTAGCTGGTTTAGTTTTGGTTTAGGCCATAAACCAATAAAATTGACATTTAGGTGTAAATATGTTTAAAACTTTTTAATTAGAGATATATATATTGTTAACTTTTAAATTAGAGAGATTTAAATCGAGGACAAAAGTTTGGGTGGATTTGTTACTATATAATATTTCCAAGGTTACGTCGTTTTCCTGCTATTACTTAAGATAAAGAAGTACATGTGCGATATCGTCTAAGAAACAAAAGAAACAACAGTGTGTATTGACTCATTGTGGTTGAGATTCTAGGCAATTTCTTAAACAGATCAACATACATAAGAAAATTAACATTATAAGCAAATTAGATACATCCTAGCAAATATCACAAATAAATTATAAACAAAAAATATCAATTCAAAGTGTGAGAACTATTGACTGCAAAATACTTAGAAAGGTGCAGATTTTTAGGGTTTTCAAATAATTATGAGAAATCGTTTATGATTTTATTCTATAGAATAGACAATGAAAAACAAAATTATACCTGGATCAATTGCAGGAAGAAATTTTGTTGCTTGGATTATTAACGATTGGAACATCATCATCTTCATTATTATATATTTCCTCATTCGATGGAGTTTCATTTAAATCAAACAAAAACTCCATTTCATCATCAAATGGAAGATTCAGATTAAATTAGAATTCATGAATAAACCTATGTGATTTGTTTATTTGTGTTGTGTCTATTTATAAGCATAATCAATTTTAAGTTTGGCTCTAAAACAAATTTTAAATATTTGGTAAGAAATCTTATGTTTCGTTGATTTGGCTCCATGTTTGATTTTGTTAAAAAAGTTGTTTAACAGTGAAATCTTTTTTTTTTGTATGTGTGTTATTTCATCTTCAGATCAAACATACATAAATTTGATTAAGAAAAATAACTTAATCATTTATACCGGTATGTAAAATTGTGATGTTATTAAAGGATGTGAATTAAAGAGTTTGGGATCAACAATAATTGATCACACAATAATCTAAAATTTATTTATTTAATTTAACAAAATTAAAGAACAAATGTTAAAAATAGTAATACAGTAGAATCTCTATAAATTAATACTCTATAAATTAATAATCACTATAATTTAATAAATTTCTCTGGTTCCGAGTTGGGCCAGTGAAAAAATCCATCAAATTCGATAAGATAATAAGATAATATTTTTTTTTGAAACTTCTATGTAAAAATATGGTCCCGGCATAAATAGAAATTAATAATTATATGAATTTATGTATATATATGTAAGATATAATATACTAAAATATGATTAATGTGTTATTTATTTTTATTTAAGTTTAAAATGTTATCGAAATTATCTCTTTACTGATTTACATCAATAGCTTTAAATGTTATTTTTTTATCTCTATTCAAAATTTGTGAATAAATTTAGATGTGATAATTAATTTTCTTACATGTAACTATTTTTAAATATATTATGGTAATTTTTTTCAATTTCAGCACCAACATTAAGGATAGTAGCCATTTTTTTTAGTAATTTTTGTACTAATGAACATTTATATTTCTACATAGATAATTCAGTCCATAATTAACAAATAGAAATAACTATTCTATTACGATTGTTATGATTAGTAATTATAATTTTAAGTTTGTGTATATCACTTTATAAGTATATGAGTTTAGATTCTTAAATATAACATTATTTGAAAGAAAATTTACGAATAAAATGAGCATAAAACAATTTTTTCTATAAATTAATATCATGATAAATTAATAAAATATCATATCCCAACATTATTAATTTATAGAAATTTTACTGTAGTATATCACAAGTTTTTTTAAGATTCATAACTCACAAATGAAAACACAAAGTGGTGGTGAAAATGATATAATTAAATTATCCTAACCTATTTAATGTTTCAATTTTTTATCACTTATTTAAACGACATAGCTTTTAAAAAACAAAAAATAATTAAAAATTTAAATCAGATACTAAATGAATCGTCTACACGAATTTGACCTATTAAGATCTATTGAGATCGATTTTAACTGATTTAGACCAATTTAAGCTATCTAAACCAGATTTTTTATTTGTTTCACCGATTTTTCTAAAATCAGTTCAGTTATAGCCTATTTGCCACTTAGTGGTCCGTTTAGACAGATTTTTAGAATCATCTTATATATAAAAGAGGACCAATTTTCTCTAGCTGAATGACACATCAGCATTTGAGAATTAATATGGGGATGACATGTGTCACTTTTTATAATTTAAAGTTACAATTTCAAAAAAAAAAATAAACCACTCAAAGAAAATGAACAGTTTTTTCATTAATTGATTGATATTGATTGATATTTATTTTATTTTTATAGAATTATTATTTATTTATTGATATTGTATTTTAAATTGATTTCTAAAATTATTTTTTTGGATAAAATTTTTAAAATTATTTATAATAACATACTAACACACATAACAAATAATAAATTTATATTTTTTTTATTATATTGCATTTTAAATTGATTTCTAAAATTATTTTCTTTTTTGGATAAAATTTCTAAAATTATTTATAATAACATATTAACACACATAACAAATAATAATTATATTTGTTTTTATATTTATGATATTGTATTTTAAATTAATTTTTAAAATTAATTGTTATATAAAATTTCTAAGATTGTTTATAATAACATACCAATACACAACAACAAATAATGATTATATTTGATTTTATATAAAATTTGATTAGTTAAAAAGAAAAACCCGCACGTTATATGCATGTATTCACCTAGTTTTATATATAAAAAGTGATCAACTCTCTCCAGCTGAGTGACACATCAGCACTCGAGAGAGTGACACATGTTCCAAAAATTTATTTATACTATTAATACATAAACAAAATTTAATTTAATTTTTATTATGTTAAAAATATTAAATCAGCAGAATAATATAAATTAAATTTAAATTTAAATTAACATCACAATGTATAAAACAAAAATAATTTTATATTTTAGTTTTGTCTATTTTTTTAATATATAATTTATTTATATTTAACTAATAAATATAATTTATTTATAAAAAAGTAAAGAAAAAGATAAATAATGAAACCACAAATGAATAATAGATTAAAAATTTTCAAACTACTGAAGAACAATGTTTTAGAGTTAAAAAACCACAAAACACAATAGAATATTTATTAACAATTGAGAAGATAATTAATAAATTATCAAAAATAAAGAGAAAAAATGATAAAATAGAAAAAAAAGAATATGATAACAAATAAATATACAATTTATAGAGGCATGGGTAATAGAAACAGAATCAATAAAATATGTAAAAACAAAACATGGATATGATAAACTTGCAGAAAATAAAAATGATCGAAAAAAAAGTTATAAAATAAAAAAATAAAAAAAGATAGGTTAAGAATTTCAAAAAACTGAAGAACAAGTTTTGAGATTGCTAGATTGAGATTTTAAAATGATTTTTAAATTGATATTTCAATGAAAAAAGGTAAAAATAACGGATAAAAAAAATTATTAAGATCATAAAAATATTAAAAAATCTCAAAAAAAAATTGATAATTAAAAAAAACTAAAACATAAATAAAATAAGATCCGTGCGTAGCACGGATTCTCTTTTAATATAATTAAGGGATGATCGATCATAATTTAATTTTGGAAGAGGCCTTAATATCCTAAATTTAAATATTATTTTGATATTGTACGATTTGGATTGATTTAAAATAAATAAAAACGGATATTTTAAAATTCGAATTGATTTGAAGTCAAAATTGAATTAATTGTGCATATGCATTTGATTCCTCGCACAGCTCAACAAAATTTCAAAATGTCGAACCATCCGCTCCTCCTCCTCTTCCAGTAACTGTGCCCTCCTTCCCATGGCGACTTCTACTCTCAATTCAGGGACCAAGCGAACGACGCCACTGGCTAAATCTTCCGAGAGTGGCGACGACTCGTCCTCTTACTCCACACGGAGGTCTATCCCCAGGAGGCATCGGAGCTTGAGCCGTTTCTCTCACCGCATATCCGATCCAGACCCCGAAGTGACTCCCATGAGAAAGGGGAAGTTCGTAAACACCGTAAGAGGCTCTGGATTCGGTGAAATTAGCCTCGATGACTTAGCCGTCGAGTTTTTCGAATCGTTCTCCGGGGATAGCGGGGTTAGCAGCGGAGAAAGAGGACGATCTGGCTCGAGAAAGTCCGGCGGCGGCGTCGGCGGTGGCGGAGAAGGAGAGGTGACAAGTTCGCAGAGGCGTGGTCGGTCTGTATCTAGGGTTGGTTCTGGTAGTAATGGTGGCTTACGGAGGTTGGATGCGGATACTGAAAGCTCGAGACGGCGGAGGTCGTTGTCTAGAAAGCCGTCGACGAGAGAAATTACCGGTAAGAGCGGTGGATTAGATCTCGGAAGTAACAGTTCGAGCCGGCGAAGGTCGGTGTCTAGACAGCCGCGGGAGAGGGTTAATTCCGGCGAGAACAGTGGTGATGCAATTAGGGGTAGAACAATTGGGGCAGATCGTGAAAACGCGAATTCACGGCGGCGACGCTCGCTTTCTGTTGTCCGTCGCCGGATTGACAATTCCGAGGTAAATAACTTTTTGTATAAAATCGGTTGTTTTCATGCTTCTGCTTGAGATCTTTACTTTCTCTGGGCCCTCTTGTGTGATGTGATACAATTTATTAGGAACTTTTTAGCTTTTTAGTTACAAAGTGAACTTTAATAGGAAGCTATAATTATCACTCCATAACGATTTTTTTTCAGCTGTAATTGTGGGACAACTATGTAGCAACAGGACCATATACTTATTATGAGTCATAGAAACAGTAGCAAAATTGGCTTGATTGGTCTTCTCGCTTTGCCATCTTGAATCAGTAGGAGCAGCTTATGAGCATTTTCATTGTTGTGTGCATTTGGCTTGTTGATCTGAAATGTTTTGTATTTGGGTTTGTGTATTGTAAATACAAGGAGCGTGATCGACATACTTTGTTTTATATTTGCAGAGTGATGTAGATCAAGTTCGGTATTCAAGCAATTCAAGGGATGAGAAGAGTTTCATGAGTGGCAAGAGTGAAAATGGTGGGTCTCATAAACTTGCTGCTTCAGATCATAGACAAGGTCTTAGGAGGTCTCTTAGCCAAAATCCAGTCAAATACCATGATGGCTACTCTGTAAGTCTAAATATCCTTTGTTTGAACTTTTGAAATTTATAGATTCTACTTTTGTTAGAGAGCGTTTTTGTTTCTGAGTGTTTCTTTTAAAGGTTTGGTGAATCCCTCTGTAAATTATATATATATCTGTTTTAACTATGTATGCTGAGAATGTTGTATTTTTTGTTAATGACGGGGAAATTTTTGTTTGGGATATTACAGAGCCATTCTTCTGCAGTCACAGATGATGAAGGAAAGGATTCCAGCTCGAGTAAGCATGGGACTGAGAGGATAATTCGAACAGTCTATGCCCAAAATAAGGTTTGTGGGTATTCAACCAACTATAATAAACTTTTTTTTCCTCAACTCTCGGTTTGAAACCAATCCAGGCCTCTAAAAAAGGCACATCTTTATGGATGTTGCTTTAACTGAGAAATCTGAGTGAATAAGAGTTTAGAATGATTTATTAGAGATGATGACAGAATCTGAAGAATATACTACAACTGTTAACTGATGTATTGCGTTTTACCCTTGGAACATGCTTCTCCTTTCTTAATGAACAATGTTAATACAGGCAACACCAAAGAAAAGAGAATCTTTGGGGAACTCTGATTATGGTTCCCAGCGGAAATCCCATGATGATCACCATGCTATCTCCACATTTACTAAAGGTTATGCAACAAAATTGCAAGAGGTACAACTTCTCTTTACATATATATATATAGTAATTTCCTTTTTCTCATTGAGGAATCAACGAACAAATATACAACGCTTCTTTTACCCTTGAATTTGACACAGTCTGAGGAGCGCAAGCGAGATTTGCTGGCTGAGATTATGTTGGAGCAGCAACGTAGTAGAGAGCACTCTATGAACTTGAAAGAGTTACTGGCTGAAAATAGTTCTGAAGCTGATGAAAAGCCGTCGCGGACACGAAAGGTGAGTATTACACAACTCCCAGAACAACGTAGTCCTCTTTTCATAAAATGTTTTAAAATTTTTTTTCTTTTTATCACAGAGGAGCAAGGACCGGAGCAGTAGGATGTCCATGTGTTTGACTGATGAAGCAGAGCAATTCATTGACGAATTCATCTCAAACATAGAAGACACAGACTTTTCATCATTCGAGGATGAGAGGAGCGAAAGCAGTTCAAGTTTCGGGTTAACGAAAACACAAAGCACTCAAAGCACAACTGTCCCGAAGAGTGTTCCCGTTGAAATGGACGGTCTTATCCTTCCTTGGTTGCAATGGGAAACTCCAGACGACACTTCTTCTGCTTCACTGATATGCCTAAACAAGTCGCCACACACGCCAAACGCAAAACCTAACATCTGGGAATCTGATTCAACTCAGGTAATTACGCTTTTTCCGCATAGACCGGTTTTAGACAATCACTGAATTAGAAAGTTTATGACATGAATGTTGTCTTGATAGGATGCATCGAGTGTGCAAGGGACGAGCATTGGTACCATCAGTAGCAGAGGAAGCTGGAGTCCATATGAGTCAGCTGCAAAGCCTGTGAGTCCCATAAGAAGGCTTAAGATAGATGTGGCTGAGTATCTGAAACGACCTAACAGTGCGGATATTCTAAATGAAACGTGGAAGCTAAGGCACAGAATCAGTTCGGGGAGTCTTGTGTTATCTAGCCGCTCATTGATCTAAATGCTTCGTGACCATAAGTATTTCTAGGTTTTTTTAAATGTTTGGTTCAGTCGTTGGCCAAAAAGAGTCAAAGACATGTTTTGTATAGTTTACTTTATGGTCTTTGTTCAGGTCTGGGTCCTCTGACTAGTTAAGCGTCTTAACGGAAAATATGCACAGATTTATTACAATATTTTGAATGACATGTCTAGTTAGTATTGCCATGTCTGATTTCTTTGCTCTTCTTTTTTCCAATTAATTGTTTATAATTAAAATTGTTGATATAGTTGTTGACCAAATTTATGAATGCTTGAAATTAGTAAAGTCAATAACGCTGCAAAATTGTAGGAGACTCAAAATTGCAAAGTCATTAATGTAGTGTCCAAACTGTCCATGAATCTATCAAATTATATGTTATCTTAGAATTGATTTTTTTGTTTAAAAATAAAATAGTTCTCGGTTTCCAATGTAAATTTTTTTAGAAAGAATTAAAAATATAGGACAAATAAACCTAATTATTGTCTCCTTACTATTTATCTAGTAAATTTTGTCTCCTTAATATTTTTACAAATAATTTAACCTCTTCTACCTTTCTAATTCGAATTTACCCATATTAATTAAAATTTATGGTATAAAATTTATTCGAAAAAAGAAAAAATATATTCCAAAAGGAAAGAAATATATTCTCTAGATCTGATTAGGAAAGAAATAAAAATTTTTAAAAAAATAACTAAGAAATTAAATAATTCGAAAAGGAAATAAATATATTCTCTAGATCTGATCCTAGATTCTCAGAGATTCAGTTAACCGAATTGTAGAATAAGTATTTTATAATTATAGAACAAATAGTTTCCATAGAAATGCAGTTCTACTAAGATGTAAAACAAATAGGTAACTATAGAAATATAATTCTACTAAACTGTAGAACAATAAAAAAGTTGTAGAATACGATTTCATAACTTTGTAGAACATGGAAGAACTGTAGATAACTAATTCTATATATTTTGTAGAAAACTAATGAAATAGTAGATAGTCTATTCTATAAATTTATAGATTTATAGAATGTGATTTCTACTAATTCATAGAACATTTGTAAAAAGTTGTTTTAATTTTTTTTTTGGCAAAATGATGTTATGAAATGTCTTTTTCTTCCCTTTTCAGAATTTTCCAAAAAAATTTAGATTATACAAATATTTTTTTTCGTAATTATAAATAAATGGTATTTTTGTCCAAAAATGGTCAAATTTGAAAAAGTATTAAAGGGACAATACTACAGTTTTTTTGTCCTATAAATATAATTGCCCCATTTTTTTAAAAAGATTTCACTTTTATCTTTACTCTTACAGCTAATTAATTAGTGTGAACATATCTTCTTTTATTATTTGAGAATAACACTTAAAAAATAACATTTATGTCATGTGTTATTAGTAATTTTGCTATGATGATGTGTCAATCTCAGATAGCTTCTCAATGATTTTTTGAAATTAGACTCAACTTACTAGATTAATTACATCATATGCCATTAACGTTAATTTGGTTAAAGATTAGTTTATATCAAATATATATTTAATACTCTGAACATTTAATTTGTAAAGATATTCTCTCTCTTTCTATTTCTTATCAACATATTTATAAAAAATTAATATATAATATTACTTATGTTACTAAGCATTATTTTCTTATTTTATCTTTCTTTAATCTTAATTTTGTAAAAAATAATCATATTATCTATTTAATAATAATAAAATCTAAAATTTTCCATTCATATTATAATTCACATTTTCTTATATCAAAGCAAAGTATCTTAGTCTGATGTTAGATCGATTAGATAGAACATATTAATCTAATTTAGTATATTTAATGTATAATTTTATTCATATAAAAAATACTATCAAAATTAATTATAAAATCAATAAGTATCTAACATTTATGCAATTATATTATAAAATAAATATAACTTTGATCGTTATTTGTAATTGCATAATCATCATATATATTTTGCAATTATAAATATCAACTAACATTTTTATAGCATTTTTATGACTGTATTTATATATATTATATTTGTATATTCGAATAAAAGAATTGTGGTTACTATTTATCCCGCACATGGTGCGGGTAATCAACTAGTGATACATTAATAAGAGATAAAATAAAAAATTAAACTGTTATTTAATATGTGTGTGAAAACTTTAAACGACTTATATTTTGAAACAAATGAAGTATAAGATATAATAAATAGTTTACTAACTAATTCATTGCGATTTACCCCAAATTTACTAAGTAAACAGACCATAAGATTTTCAAATATTTTTCTAACTTATTTTGTTAACTTATATATATATTTTGTTTTTTCTGTTAACAACTTATTTTGCCATCTTAATTTGTTCAACTTTTTTTTCTTTTTTTTTTGTTCAACAACATTCTTTTATTAGTTTCCTAACTTAATTTGGTCTGTTAGCAACATATCAGGAAAATTTTGCATAAAAACCAGAAGCTAGATAGGGTTTAGAATCCAGGAAAAATGAGACTAACTTTCAAAACTAATCCTTATATGGAGATTTAGAACTCAAACTAATCTTCAGAAAGACAAAAAGAGTAGAAAAATCATTTTTTGTTCTTTCTTAAAATGTTCAATCAACCAAAAATTGAGAATAGTAATTGTTAGAGTGACATATTTCTAATATTTTTGATTGCGAGAAATGTGTAAAACTGTTAAACTAAGGCATTTCTAAGTGTTGTGACTTTGCCGTAGACCTTTCAAAGTTTTTGAAATCACATGTTTTACATGTTTTTATTATGAAAACCCAAAATATATAGATGGCTACACAATACGATACAAGTTTACATTTAAAAGCTTTTGACTAGTTTTTTTTTTCAATCTATGGCGAAGGTGGTGGGTAATATTTTAGACACATCGTCTTACAGTCTGTTTGGTCATCTGAACAATACTGTTTATTCCCCCTGCAGGCTGCAGCAGTGACAATTCCATAAAATGCTAAAGCTGCAACGTACTCGATGGCACGGTGATATAGGAAATATAACTATTTTGTTCGTCTCAAGATTCTCCTCCATGTTTCTACCTACAAATTTTGGTAAATATGTCGATGGTTAACTATATGCTATATACATGCAATATACATTACCAAAAAAGGAGACAAGGATGATGCAAAAGATAGCAAAATGTGAGAGTGTGTTTGAAAATAAGGTGTTTTTTAAGTTTTTATTTGAAAAATAGGTAGTTTTAAGTTTTTATTAGTTTTTGGGTAGTTTTGATGGGGTCATATTTTCAAACCCCAAAATTACTCTTGTATCTTGGAAAGAAAAATAAATACATAAAACCATGTGGTCCTCATAAAAAGTGTCTACACACGCTTATACACTTATAAATAAATATATTTTTCTCTTTCTCTTTCTTACTTTTATGATAAAAAAAAATTAAAAATTAATTATTTTTTCTCTCTCACTTTTTTAGAAACTCCCCTCAAATCTTTGATCATATATTTAATTCTAAACAACGAATCAGATTATGATATATACATAGAAAAGTTATAGTTTCTTTTTCGACACATATAAAAATTTAAATTTTTTAAAACGGATATTATTAACACATATACAGTGTACACCTATACATGTACACCTATGCAGTGTACACCTATACGTATACACCTATGCAGTGTACACCTATACGTGTACACCTATGCAGTGTACACCTATACGTGTAATATGTGTACACCTATGCGGTGTACACCTATGCGGTGTGCACATGTGCACCTATGCGGTGTACACATGTGCACCTATGCGGTGTACACCTATGCGGTGTACACCTAGGCAGTGTACACCTAGGCAGTGTACACCTAGGCAGTGTACATATATGTGATGTACATATATGCAGTGTACATATATGCAGTATATATGTATGTGTAATATACATAAATGTTGTGTATTTATATGTAATTTTTGCGTATGCAGTATACATATTTTAAACCATTACAATTGGAATAAACTTCAACAACACTATTACTAATTGGTGTACAGACCACATGTGAAAAAAGTGTATACATCATTTACGATACTAAACACACAAAAAAAATATTAAACCGTTAAAGAAAAACATAAACTATAACAATCATACCAATAAACAAATGTAGAAATTTATACCCTAAATGAGTAATAGTGAACCCAAATTGTATCACATAAATTATGGCTACCATATAGAACAAGTAACTATAGAAATATAAACCCTAAATAGATACTAGCGAACCCAAATTGAATAACATAATCTCTATACCTTAAATAAATAATAAACCTAAACCTAAACCTGAACCCTAAAAATAAATAATAATGTAAACCCTAAACCTAAACCCCAATCTAAACCCAAATTGAATAACATAAACTATAAACCTCGATGGATACTATACAACCACTTTTGGATACTAAACACACAAGATGGATATTAAACCGTTAATAAAAAATAAAGTACAACAACCATAACAATATATAAATGTAGAAATCTATACCCTAAATTGGTAATAGCGAACCCATATTGAATCACTTAAAATATAGCTACCATATTGAACAATCAACTATAGAAATCTAAATCCTAAACGGGTACTAGTGAACCCAAATAAAAAAAATCTAAAGTATTAAAACCGTAAATAACATATAATTATTAAAATCTATATCCTAAATAGCTGCTAGTGAACCCAAAATGAATAACGTAAACTGTAAACCCTAAGAAAAAAATAAACTAAACCTTGATGAATACTATACAACCATTTGAGGATATTAAACACATAAAAATGATATTAAACCGTTAAGGAAAAATATAAAAGACAACAACCGTAAAAACATATAAATGTAGAAGTTTATACCCTAAATGGGTAATAGCAAACCTAGATTGAATCATAAAAAATATGGTCACCATATAGAATAATCAACTAAAAAAATCTAAACCCTAAATGGGTACTAGCGAACCCAAATTGACTCAAGTAAAATATGACTACCATATAGAGCAATTCACTATAGAAATCAAAACTCTAAATGGGTAATAGCGAACCCAAATCGAACAACGTAAACCCTAAACCTTAAAAATAAATAATAACCTTTGATAGATACTATACAAATAATTTAAGATACTAAACACACAAAAGAGATATAAAACCGTTAAGGAAAAACATAAATTACAACAACCATTAAAACATATAAATGTAGA